AGGAGAGGAGAGCTGCAGCTGCCTGGTGCCAAGGCAGGATGTTTACTGAGATATGATTCAGTGTCTGGGTACTGCTTCAGCACTGTAAGACTGCTGCACTCACATGCTTTTAATAAAGCAGAGATCCTTATAAAACTTTTCTGCTTGAGTTTATATTAGAGCAGAGTAAGTGTTATGCAGGCATTCAATGCTTTATTAAAGTTAGCTATTGATTTAAGTGAATGTTTATACCATTTGAGCCTCTAACTGCATCAATCTTAGTTACAGAAAATTTACTGCCTTGATTTTGCTCATTACAGTCCAGCACACACTTGTCCCAACCCCTTCACAAGAGGCTGTACAAAGCCTTTGGCTAAGAGGAAAGAAAACAACACATGGAGGTTCAGCACCTGAAAATACTAAACTTGGACAACCTGAAGACCCCTACTGCCAAATATTCCAAAATGCTCTGACTACTGATAAAGTACTTCAGCATCTTAAAAGGAGAACTGCATTTGATGTTTGGTCATCTTCATTCACTGAAAATAACATACACAATTTAACCATTACATGCTGGATAATGTGTCATTAACACTAAACATGAAGGAATTTGCCAAGGATGAAAGGTGCCCAGCAGGCAGCAACAGAAATTCCTTTTCTCTAAAGGAAGATTGCTGCAATATTCGTCAGGCTACAGCACTGTCACAAGGAATTCCCAGGACAAAAAGCATTTAAAGTTTCATACCAGGAACATTCCATCTGTTAGCTCTCTCCAGTTTGCCACTGCTGTTGGAACAAATCTATCCCTGTGTTGTTACTGTACAAGGGTTAGAAGCTCCAGAGAAGTGTCTTCCAATGCAGAACCTGGTAACTACACACGATGACGAGCAGACTCCACATTCTGGCCAGGAGGAACAGTGGAGCTTTTTCAGTGTATTTGGTTGAGTGTTTCCATTCAAAATAATCAGAAGTTTTGGCCCCAAACATATTTAGCCCCACTGTAAAAAGCTGTCTTCCCTTTGAATTCCAATCATGAGATGCAGCTGATAGCCCCAAATTTTGTGTTTTTAATTGGTGTATGCTATACAACACTGTGGTAAATTTAAAAAAAACCCAAAACCAAACCAGAACAAACTAAAACACATTCACTGGCTGAAAAAGCTTCTTTTGAGGACTACTAGCATGGCATCTTTAAGTTGGAAGATCAAAAATCTTTGTTATCTTACAGTGCAATGTTAGTATTTAGCAAACTGTACATAAGACAGTCAATAGCAATCAAAACAAACCGCAGTCTATGATAGATTATATACATTAATATTCAACAGCCACAGGAGTTAAATGCTGTTTCCACAAACCAGAACAAAACTATTTTTATTCACATAATGGCACTGCATATCTTTAATATTCTGAAATTAAAAGTGTAGTACTTTGGAAGAAATTAAATTCATCAACTGATTATGAACTAGAACATATTTTAAGTTGTTAGGTTCAAACATAAACCATGACAATACATTCTGCTTCATTTCTTAAACAGTTTGTTTTTAACAAATGATTTGTCTGACTCAGCACTACCAAGTTTCTTCTAACCAACGAAGGAAGTCAGTAAGCACTAAGACAACTAATCCCCCCAAAGCTGCTCCTACTGCCACAGGTACAATGAAGTTGTCCACCTCTGGGCTACAGTCTTTGGCTAAATACAAAAAGCGCAAGTCTGGAGGAGAAATGCATTTAAATAGAATTATTTAACAGTGTTATCTCCCTCTAATTATTTAAGTTATGCTTTTCCCAACAGGATATCATGACAATCATCCACAAAACCCTGACCTCCTCCTCCTCCCCAAAACACACTAGCAGTATTGCCCCTTCCCAAACACTGTAACTAACAGACCTACAATTCCATTATATACTTTCTTGAAAAGCACATATCTGCATATTACTGTAGATTTATCATTATTTTACACCAAAGTCCAGTCCTCCAGCATCTAGATACTCACTGCAAGTCTCCAGGAGAAACAATAATGGAGACAGAACTACAGTAAAAATAGTAATGCTTTGACCAAATTAAAAAAAAAAAAAAAAAGTCTTTACCCTTATTACAGGACAGCAGTAACTCCTCCTGGTTCCAAGTTTTGTCACAGACTCTTGCAGACTGACTTGTACTGATCATTTGATTGAATTGTGATGCCTGCAGTTCCACTGGAGTTTAAATTCACTTTGACTGATTCACATCCTTAGGAGCCTCACTGTTAAGTGCTTTAAACAAGAGCCTATTAAAATGTTTGTGTTTTTCTTCACATTAAAAAAGCTTCAGCTGACACTTCAGAAAGGTGCTAACATTACTTTGTGTAGCAGGTGAGAAGGCAGCTTTAATGTCATGCTTATGTAAGCATTGCAGGCTAGAATCAAGACAAGGTAAAGGATCAGACTGCATTTCTCCCTCTTGTCATATGACCAGTGCTCACAAGATAGGGCAGGAAGAGGTATGGCAAAGGGAAGACCAGTGTCTCCCTTGATGCAGGAAGAAGTTGAGTGTAGTACTGTTACCAGAACTGGCAGCACAGACAGGATGAACACAGCCTCTGCCACAGAGGAAGAAGCTACTAACCAGTTCCTAGAAGGCTGCCTCATATTTTCCCACTTTTGCTGAATGCAAAGACTGATTTCACTTTCCAGGATGACTGCAAGAAGGAACTGAACTGTTTATAGCTGTACACCAATTTAAGATGGCTAGTAAAATCAGTCATAAAAACATCTTGTCTGGATGGAGGTATGATTGATAGTTAAATTTACAAGCAAATTTCTAATGATGAACCAGATGTACAGTGTCTCAATTAGCTCCCAAGCTGTCCTCTGCTAGTGGATTGTACCCAAGCACGCTTCAGAATGCGCTGCAGAACAAAGCATGAAGACACAGACAACAGAAGACTCTCTGAGGAGCACCTTCACCAGCTATATAACAGAATCTCAGATCTTGACTGACTGAAGTTGGCCTCAGTTTATTTTCTTTTAAAAAGACAGTACAAGATGTCTCTTTTCAAATCAGTTAAAAAAGGTGAACAAGTTACCTTCAGAAATAGAACAATCTTTATTATTTAAAGCACATGTTGAACAGGTTGACAGTTCCCTACAGAGCAATACATACAGGAAAACTAGTGGTTTTATAACAACAGGCAGTCAGGTGAAACTTATTGAACCAGTTACCTGCACATAGGTCTAGGAATACTTTAATCTCTGAGCCAATATACTTGCAAGTGAAGATCAAGTCAGAGGTTTTTGCAAAGATACTTCTAGTATTGTTGAATTCTGTGAGCAGTTTGCACTGATCTTCTATATTGTCACTTGGAAACCATGCACAGTTCAAAAATTTTCATGGTCAAATGAATACAGCGTGGTAACTACTCCTGAACAGAAATGCACGTGTTAACTGGTGCCACTGAACATTAGTCACAAAAACGCTAGAAAATCTATACAAACTTCTGCATTTCAGGATATATTAATATGAAAGTAATTAGATCCACTTTTTTAATTAAAATGGAAAGTCTTGAAGCCTGTTTCAGGATTAAACATATAGTAGTTCCCCACTTTCATTAATATGAGTTTCAGTAACTGATGCAGAATGTAAGCTGTAGTATTATCCACCCACACTTGCTTCCTTGGCTAGTGTCAAGAGTAAACTGGGTTTAGAAAAAAAAAAACAAACAACAAACTGAAAGAAGTGTATTTTATGATTTGTATACAAACATGCCACAGACATCTCTACAACCCTAGAAAACACTAATAAAACATTAAACCAGCTTTGATTCAGGCTAAACTCATTCTAAAGGGGGAGACATTATGTTCATTAAATAACTAGTTTAGGAAGCTCATGTTATGACATATGCAAAAAAGCCACACTTACCTAGAAGTCTAAAAGACTTTTTTTCCCCCCCATGCAGTAAAACCTGTGTATTACAGCACAAGGAGGCAAGAGAAAAGCTGTGCAGCAAGGGTTAGTCTCTACATAGCTGCAGTTTAGTAACAGTCCAGTTGCGCTGCATTTTTGAAGCTAGTTATCCTTTCCACACAGCAAGGAAAAAACGGGTGTTGTGGGTCCATCTCATCCTGGTTTGGCTTTTGTTTTCTTAACACTAAGAAATGCTACACAGCAATCAAACACAAAGTACATTAAACATTCAGAATGCCAATGGCAGGCAGTTACGATGTGAATTTTGATTGGCAGAGAACCATTCAAGATGAAGATTTAAAGACAGCTCAAGCTGCAACAACAGATACTGGCTCACTAAATGAAAGCATCTTTAAACAATGGTCATTCAAAGCAACAAGACAGACCAGTTCTGTGCAGAGTATGATATAAAGTTAAGTGCACTTTAAAGTTCTGGAATATTTAGAAAGGTTATTCCCTTTAAACTGATGCCAGCAAAGAAGTTTGAACTAATTTAGCAGAACTCTGCCTCATTTGAGTACTTTAGATGAATACCAAGGTATAGTAAGTGGTGAAGAATTCAGTGCCTAACTCTTTTGTTTTTTGTTTTTTGGGTTTTTTTTTTAAAGCATTTCTAAACAGCACTGAGGTCTTCCTTTATATCCACCATTTGGCAAGGACAGGTTACCCATTTTGTTGGTACAGCCAGGGTATAGGAATGATTCCTGAAACTACACTAAGGCAGGAGTAAACTACTCAAATTCTGTCAAAGCTAAGTAAGCTACTGCTGCCACTTCAAAAGATGACTTAATCACCAGCCTGAAGTTCAACTCCATGAAAAACAAAGTTGTTACTGGGCATCATACAATCCTTGTTAAATACTATACAAGTCCACAGAGGGACTAATGCTGCCAGCTTAGCCCACAATTAGGACAACAACTACGGAACGCAGAGGAGAGAAGCAAGTACAAATTCCGTGCTACTCTAGGAGTTGCCAATGAATATCAGTTTAGAACGTGTTCTTCTTTCAGGCTACCATTTGCAAAAATTAGAAATCAATCCTAAACACTTTAGAGTTTTTGCAAGATAAAATCATTAGCCTAGAAATCCATCCAATATTTGACATCTTCAAAACAGCTACGAAACTCACGTCGTCTTCTTAGAGCAGGAAAACTAAAACTGGAGTCTTAGAGCAGGAAAACTAAAAACGTAGTTCTGCTTCATCTGAGATGAAGATTCTCTTTGTTTCTCAACTCCAATTAGCTGTGGCTAGTAATTACTCTTAAGTTTTGGGTCTTTTTTGGACTTCAGAACTTGCACTTGCTTTGTTTAGAGTGAAATCAGAACAGGAATCACATTCAGATTCACAAAGTTTGATATCCAGCATAGCTTTTTCTTCTGCCAATTATGTAAGCAATCACTATAATAGCAATCAAGGCAGCAAGTGCAGCACCAACTACAATTGGGACTAGAATGCCGTCATCATCCAGCGAACACTCCTGGGCTGTAGATAAAAAAAGAGGTTGCCACAAGGAATAAATAAAGACAGAATACTTGCCAAGTGTGGTATAAAAATCTGTTCTCCTTAATATGAGAAGTGTTCAAAACCAAAGTATTATTACATCTTTAAACTAAAAGAGAAAGAACTGCAGAGGTCTCATGGGTACATTAGCATATATTAAGCATTATAATAACTTGGAACATTTAATAAACTATAGTAAGCTAACAGGAATCTAATAGAAGTGCCCTGGTGTACGAGTTTTCACGTGCCCAAGATCCGTACTAGACGAGGGAGTAGCCATTCTTTTATTTTTAAGACAAAACCAGGCTTATCTATTTCATTCTTAAGGCAAGTCCTGTGCTTTTGCTCATTAAAAATAAAGTGACCTAGATGTGGTCTCAAGAACCTATCCAGAATGGAGACATGTCACAGAGATGAAGTAACTGTAATAGGAGAAGGAAGGTAGCTGCAACTTGAACTACAGGGTGAAACAGGACCCTAACTCTTTAGAACGTTTACCCTGCATACATCTGGGGAGTTCACTTACCGCTGCCCAGAAGTTAAAAAATCTGCACCCAATCTATTTGTCTACAGATTAGTCTAGCCTAGGAAGACTGTGCTGCAAGTGTTATCATTAAGTACAAAGACCATAACATACTAAAGATTGAGAAACAGATCCTTTGAGCTGTTCCAGTTTTCCCCAGACAAGACCAGGGTAACGCAGCAAACTTATTTTGGAATCTTTCTTTAGCTCTGGACACCCAGGACTGTTTCTGAAAGAAGTTCTGGCTGTTCATTCCCCCCTCCCAACACTCCTATTCCTTAGACTGACAGGTAAAAAGAAATGAAACACCTAACAGTTACCAGAGTCCACTTCTGCTAAAGTGTTGCCTGTTTTCTTATATATTCAAGCTACAAAAAGCTGTAGGGCAAGATGATGTCAGGTAACTTCTCACCTACTCTGCATGCCAATGCTTAAGTCCCTCTTCAGTGTCTCTAGCTCCTTCAAGCTTTATGAAGGAGAACCAACATACTTAGCAGACATTTTTTAAATGAGAACAAAGCTTTCCTTGAAACTGAATGTCAGTCTCAGAACTACTCTCCATTCCCTATGTTAAAAAGACAAAACCAACCCAAATCCCAGAAGAACAATGGAACAAAAACTTCAAAAATAAAGTCCTTGTGCTGAATGCTGGTGCTTTTTAGCAAGTAAGCATTTTACAAGCATTGCAAGAAATAACAGAAAAAGAACTCTTACCTGTAGAGAACTTATTAGCCTTCACAAGGAATGGTTGAATCCATAGATTAAAAGTACGTATTTGAAGATCTTCATTAACCTCAAGAGTTTGCTCTTTTCGGCACAAATAAGAACTCCCAAGGAAGGTATCCCATTTGCTGAAATTGTTGTTATCTGCATTTGAAATGACTAAACCAAGTGGAAGGGGGAGAAAAAAAAAAAAAAGGAAATTTGCATGCCCACTTTAAATGCAAGAGAGTTGCTAATACAGTCATAAGACTAAGGAGCTGAATCTAGAGGGGCCAACTTCTCAACACTGACTACTCTGAAAAACAAGGTAGTCTGAAGTGCAATTGATCTGCTTAACCAAATGAAGTCATGAGTAAACTTCAGGCAATGAAGTTACTACAGTACTTGCAGTAACCTATTCTCTATATAGACATAGCATTAGGCTTTCCTTGTACTTCCACTCATCCCAACACCGCAGAGTTGCAGGCATCTTAGCTTTAGTGCCCTTTTAAGTGCAATAGCTGTGACAAGCAACTTTAAAAAAAAAAAAAAAATCAAAAAACCAAACAACCCATACTTTTGATTTGGAAAAAGGTAGGCTTTAGTTTTTGAAGGACTGGTCTCTTTTCCCAGTGAGTTAAGTAGAAGCTATTGGAAGATACAGCAGCATCTTCAATCAAAGACAACAACAGCTGGTTTATGAAAATCAGAAAAGCTTCAGAGTTGGTACAACTGTATTTTGCACCTCAAAAGATTATGTTATTGCAAGCAAGTTATAAAGAAGCCCTCTAAATTTATAAGTGTTTATCACAAAGCAAGAGACCCCATCAGCAGACATTTCAGCAAAAGAAAATGACACTGCACTGCTGTTTCAAGTAACTCTTACAGCCATTTCTGCTTATTACTTTTGTTCAAACCAACTTAAGGATTTGAAGTAGGAAATAACAGTAAGCATGAACAGCATTGGAAAAAAAAGTCAGAAGTATCTGATAAACACAGACATTGAATAAAAGCTTAGGCTTGCTTTAAGGCAGATATTATTTCTTACCAGAACCATTCAGGCGGTTGAGCAGTGTAACATTCACCTCTTTCAGATAAAATTTTTGCATGCTTGCACTTACATTTTTCTGTTTAAAGAAGCAAGAACCAACTGTCAGTGTCCAATTCTGCATTTTTAACTTTAAGAACACATACTCTAGAAAGGCTAACACATATAGCACTGTCTTACATTTTCTACAGCTTTAACCCAATTCTCCATTTGTCTTGAGGCAGTCAGCTAGCCAGTTCTACTTCCCATATGGGAACAGCCTACCACAGCCAAGTGACAGAAGGATTTTACTATGAGTGATCACCACGCAATACTTTTAAACTGGAAACTTAATTTAAGATACAAGAAGTTACTTACAACAACAAATGTGAAACTAATGAAGGTGCTATTTCCATCATTCAACTTCAGAGTAGCTGTTGTGTTACCACAGGCACCATCTGCACTAGTTGTCTTTGGATTGAGGTTGATCAGAAGAGGCTGAAACACAGACATACCACATCAAAGACATTCAGCTGCCATTAGGAATACATTGTTTCATGACAGAAGAGCTTGTCATGGAGACCACAGCAGGAAGATTGAGCCCAGCTACTATCAAACCAAGGCTACTTGAGTTAAGTTTACCTGCTGGTAATACTGAAGCAAACAGACTGCCCAGTGAAGACTTACTTTGTTGACCTAATACAACAGGGTTAGCTTTGGCTCCCTCTGTGGGGAAAGACATTATCTGCAGGGACCAACAGCCTTCAAAGCTAAGAAAGTTCCAGGCTTTTAATGATGATAGAGGTACTGCCAGGAACGAGTTACACTGAATCCACGTAAGGTTTTGAAGCTAGATATTATGCTACAAAACTATTCTGATGCCAGAGAGGTGCTATGTACGATACTCAAGAGTTCTGGACAGCCAGCAGTGTAAAAAGCAAATACTCTGCACTGACATTTCATAACAAATAACTACAGCAACCTTTCTACTCTTCTAAAATAAAAGAGAAGCACCTTCTCTTGGGAAACATTCAGCTGCAGCCCCACATTAGCCAGAAGACAAGTTCTATTTCCAATTTTAAGAGAATAGTTGCCGGTGACTGGGTTTTCCACAGGTTTGGGAGCAGTGGTTGGAGCAGGCGATAAAGTGGTGGTAGATGCAGTGGTTATATTGGCACTCGTCGGCGGAACAGTAGGTGCAGAAGTAGGTGTATCAGCACGACATCTAGACTCTGAAAATAAATTTTGATCATCATTTCAGCGCTGAAATTTTATTAAAGTCTTCCGACTCAGAGGTCAGTTCAATACAGATATCAATTTCTGTCTCAAAATCTAAGCTTATTGGGAGTCTGCTAATCATCAAGTCAAAAGTCTCAAACTCAGCACTACTGCATGGTATTCCAAACAATTTACAGCTACCATTTATTCTCAGAAATTCTATAACGCCTACAGTGTTAAATCTATGCAGCATATGCAGTACTACTGTGGCATATGCAGCTACTTTGCTGTAGACAAAGTAAGCAACCCTACTCAGCTCTATGTACCAGGATGATGTACTCATCTTTTGAGTAGTTGAATGTGAGATGAGACAACAGGCTCTGGACTGTTTAACTGAAAAAGCAGAGCCTACCACTGAAAATGGAAAGCAGTTAGTTAAAAACCTTGAAGCTCAAATGATCTAATCAGCAACAGTAGTTCTGAAGTACTTACTTTTAATACCCCAGTTACTGGAATACACACTTTCAGACTATCACCTTGGCATGGGAACAATCTGCATTACTATGTACTACTAAATCTGTTTTATTAATCTATTTTTCCAGGAACAAGGAAAGATACACTAAAGGATATTTACATTAATATTATTCAACACAGCACATCTTAGATGGATTTTTTTTTTAATTATGGGACTTTGCTCCCTAGACTAAGGTGCAATACAAAAAAGCTCATTCACAAACTGAAGTGCTCACCTTTTTTACTGATTGTGCCATTCTGAACAAAAGCCTGCACAGTAACATTCCAGAAAATCTGTGTTACATTTTCTGCTTCAAAGAAGTCAGTATTATGACATACAAAGATGTTATTCAGTTCAACTGGACCCATAGTATCCTTTACAACAACAGTAATTGGTCCTACAAATAAGCACAAATATTTTAATGCTTTATGAGCGACAAGAACATTTACAGGTAGTGTTATGTTTTATATAATTCCATAAAACAGAGAGTAAGAGAATTAACTAACAATCCTAATATCTCTTGAATGTTTTACCTGTGTGTCCTGACCTAAAGTGCTAAGTAACACAGAGAAGTAATCAAGTTTCCAGAACTAGACAAGCTGTTAGACAGGTTAGCCCTTTTACTTAAGCTTACACTAAAGTGAATCTTCCATATGCCTGTTGTCTACTAGCAGCACCTCACTGACCAAGGCTGTTCAAACAGTTAACCTTCCCCTTCCATTCACTTAAAAGAATTACACTTTCAGCGAAGCTAACTAGTCTGTATTCTTATTCAGTAGGCAGGTATGATGAAAAACAGCCAGGCACAGAAGTCATTAGATACATCATTAGCCCTTCTAACTTTGAAAAAGCCGACCAAGGACAGGTACATGGGATCTGACACTTGGGGCCGAGACTGTTCTGCGAGTAGGATTCTGCACTGAACATTACCTTTTCTCTTAGCATCAGGAAATACAACAGTATCATTGGTGTTGTAGGTAAATGTGATGAAGTCTCCCTGGTAAGTTTCATTGGTTTTTGTAAAGTTAATGCTCCAAGAGTGACCTTCTCCAAACTGTACTGCCAGAAGCGCAGCTTGTGTGTCATTGCCACAGACGCTGCCATTGTGTGTCACATTGGACAGCGAGTTCAAGGTTGCATTTCTCTAGAAGAAAAACACATTTTAAACGTTTTCACAGACAGTTCTTCCCCATGCCAACATTACAAACCCCATGGAGTTAGATGGAACCTTGCAAAAGATTAGCGAGATTGTTTTAGGTTATTTTACAAAATTATGAAAAATGCTCCCTGACATCTGACTTCGACAGGAGCCATATCAGATTAAAGTACAAAAGTAAAAGGCTAACTTGGCTGTAAATCTTGACCGTGCTGAGCTGCAATTTACATTTACTATTTGGACTAAGAACATTACGACACTGGTACACAAAATCCTCCAGGTTTGACTAGTATGCTATTTAATTAAGGGCAACAGGGCACTTTCAGTTATTTGTATTATTAATTGAGAACTTATGCTTTGTTTTAAACTGAATATTTATGAATACTCTTAACAACTGACTTAATAAAAACAAAGAAGTAAAAAAACAAACACCGCAGGTAAAAGAGTGTACTTAAACTTTTACCCAGGACAAAACACAGTTCTCGACAAAAGTTACCTCCAAATACTTACATAATCACTACTGTTTGTTTCATATTTTATCAAGAATCTCATCATCCATTTTGCATACAGGCACGTAGCGTTAGAGGCATCCTTTACATCTACTTCCACTGCATAGGACTGGAAAAAACCTACAGGATATGATTATTAGCTATTAAGACATTGCTTTTACTTCATTTTCTAGAACCACTTAAGAGGACAGCTCATTACAAAGTAGTAAGTTAGTTCAGGACGGGATTCAGCTTGGCAGACACTGAAAGAGTGGCTAGATTTCTAAAAAGTATTACAACTAGGAAGCACACCATGAAGTTACAAACTCACAGAATGGTTTGGGTTGGAAGGGATCTTAAAGCTCATCCAGTCCCACCCCCCCTGCCAGCAGCAGGGACACCTTCCACTAGACCAGGTTGATCAAAGCATCATCCAAACAGGCCTTGAACACTTCCAGGGAGCTAGATACCAAAGATTATCAAAGCTAGGTAACAAATGAATGTTCCACAGCCTATTCACCTGCCAAAGACTAATAATCTAAATGGGGACTGGCTTTCTAGTGACAAAGTGAGTAAACTGAAGTGCACAAACACAGCACTTAAACAACACACTGTGCAGACCAGGGTCTCCCTGCTATCTGATGCATTTCACTAGCGCTATGACTGACACAAACCTCCAAGAGGTGAGACAGGTCTGTCCCCCTTCACTTGTGCACCTCCACAACTTCAGCCTCAAAACACAAGGATGTTAAATCCTCTTTACGTTTTTAGGGAACTTTTTACAGCTGTTGGATCTCTAACCCGGTGAACTGCCCCAGGGCCAGTTTTGCTGTGCACTGACCGTTGACCTCCCCCC